TGATAAAAACTTTGATATTTTGTCGGTATAAGCACTTTACGCTTTCCACCGCAAATGTTATGTTTTTTTTGCGAAAATTTCCTACCGGCTTTCATTTAACATCTAATTCGTGCAACTACATCGAAACTCCCTTAAGCCAGTGCAATTTTGGATCGTAAACCGAGGGCCGATTTTCCAATTTGAGCTTCAAAAGATTTTCTTCTCCGGCTAGAGGATCAAAAGTGTTTGCAGCGAATTTCAACCTCCAACTCAATTACTTCTCAACTCCAATCAAAATAATGTGTTTACATGTTGTGCGCAGCATACATAAGCACTTAACTTCTACAAAGTGCATACGTTAAAACATTCGCCTGAAGAAGTAGTTGATTATTTATTCGATAAAGTGTTTTTAAACATCTTCATTTTTTTTTAACTTTATAAAATGTAGCTGAGGTAGTTGAGCGACAGCAAGCAAAACAGTGCTAAATTAGAAGATTTATTATTCATTATCAATTTTCAATAAACTTGCGTAATGCTGTTAGGGCGAAATTATATTATAAAAAAATCCAATTATCAATTCGCAGTATTTGCTGTGCAGCAAAACAATCACACACATTTGATAAAAAGCAATTATTGACAAATGCCAACGAACAATTATTTGTTATCGTCACTACAACAATAAATAACGTTTTAATTTCGCTTCGATTTTGCTTTTGCAGTTGCAAATAGTTTTAACATTTGGAACATTTTGCTGGATATTTTGTCTGATCGTGTGCAAACCACCAACACTGCTCAAGATTTTGCCACTTTTACACAATGAATGTTAAACCTCGAATAATTCCATCAGCGAGGTTTCCAATTAAACAATTCAGCGCAACAACAAATTGTAAATTCAAACATGTACGTTACACTAGTTTTGTCGTGTGCAATGTCGGATTTAAACGTGTTTAAAATGAACAGTTCCATGTCATGAGAAGCGACATTGTGGGGTCACTGCTAAAAAACGAATTATTTGCAACATGCCAAAAAAACAGACCTGAAATGTTTAATTTCGTTTAAAAATGCCACGTCAGTCCAGCTTTTTGGGTGCGGAAATTAGAAATGTCGTTGTTTTACTGAACAGGGTAATTTCATGTTGCCGAAAGTGCGGGTTTGATTGCTTGAATTCAGGTTTACCAAATCGCTTGTCACTTCATACAGAAGTGCTAAATTTTTCAAAAGCAGAATGCTGTGCTGAAATCTACTAGCTTTTGGTTGAAAACATGTTTTCTCACTAAAAAATGTGTCAATAGCAGTACCGTACATTTTTTAGTAGAAATGTTCTGAGCTTAATCAAACTAAATTTGCAAGCACTAAGAAAATAGTAAATGAAGCCAAAAACCGCGTTTTTTAGGCCTTCAACCAGTGTCGTGCCAGTAGAGCTCTGATGTTTTGAATGTAAATTTAGTTATCTTTAAAACAAGCTTGTAAAATGAAGTAATTTAGAATTCGAAACCGAAAATAAAAAAATTGAAAATGAAATTAAAAACGTTTTCAAGACGACACAAAAACACATCTTTAGCTAGTAGAAGAAAGTTGTTTAGAACCAAACTATTCAAACTCAAACAACCCAATCACACAAATTTAAGTTGAAATTTTATTTCTGAAGAACAAGTATTTGTTGCTGTAAAACAGCAGCGCCAATCAACGCAAAATCTAAAATAAACATAAATAATTAATTGAAGATTTAATGATAATTTCGAGAACCGTACTAGAAAGGATTAATAATACTAATTAAAATTTACTCATTACAATGTTCGATCAACACTGGCTGCATAGACGGATTAATTTCGGTGGAAAATGAGTTTTGGAACTGAGCTTTCATCTTCGCTTCGCGACAAGAATCCGTATGCGCCCCGTCTTATTATCTTTGAATAATTAATACTAATTTTAGTCGTAGGAACGTGAAAATTTCATTTTGCGTCATGGCTCAGACAGAATCATAACACTGGTGCATGGTTGGAAGAGGAAATTAACGACCCGATGAAATTATTCGCTGGGAATTTAATTAAATCGGAAGCAATTGCGAATTTTTCTGAAAGGAAATTGGCCACAAAATAAGACGCCAGCAGTAGGAAACAAGAAATAAATCCATAAATGAGCACGGTGCTCGTGTGCATCGATTACCACCGTAACCGGAAGAATTGCGGGGCGAAATTGATATTCTATTCTATGCTATTTCGAGCGAATGCACTATCCGAATAAGGGAAAGTGGATTAGCACTGCCGTTGGCTCGAAAAAGCGATTTGACCTGTGGTTTCGCTTTAATAAAGAATTCTAGGACATGGTCCCATTATAATTGTGTATATAAACGGTTTTTTATCTTCATCACAAACCGAAATCGTTCTAAATCGATTCAGTCGAGGTGCCGAAGCGGAAAATCTTATTTAACCTGCAGATCCCAAACGCGATCATATTATTGAGTTTGACACAATACGAAACCCCATAGAGAATCAAACAAAAATTTTAAGAATGACTCGGCATTATGGGAACGACCAGAATAATCTATCTAGGCACTTTGTTGGGAGATTAATGTTTTCGTTTGGTTCATTTTAGATGCTTTTGTCCCGGCTGGATCGTGTGAATAATTTACGAAAATCCAATGCTGATCTTAAAACGGTTAATGTACAATTGCAGGCTAATCGCTTGTTTGTACACTCACTCTAATGTAATTTGATTACGGCTGGCGTCATTTGAAACGCTGTATTTTATGCTAAATCGCATCAAAAATACAAACGCGTTGATTTAGCGATTAAAATTCCTTTGATGATTCATTTTCAGACGGTGTTTTCGAAACATCAAAGGTATTTGCCGCGGATCAGGCTCGGCTCGGGCTCGGCTCGTTGATCATCAGTTAGAAGTTTTTAACTTGTTGGTTCAGTATTTGATTTATTAATTTTTGCCAACGACTTTCTATCACTTGCACTTTAAATGTAAGCAATGTTATTTGTATGCAGCCGCAGTGCTTTAAATCCAAATCGCATTAAACAACGTAGAGATGATGGTAATTTTTTCGCTTTTCAATCACGATGAAGATCCAATTAAGTGCATTTCTTCATTACGCACTTCTCGGGCCATTAAAATTGCAGCCGCTTTTCCACTCACTCAACAGAGTCGGTCTAATAAGGCCGCGAACTGGCATTGATTTTTCAAGGACAACCAATTACCGCAAGATCAATGTTAATACGCAACTCGCACATTTATTCATACATGCATTCCAATATTTGCAATAAAAAATGTTATTCACTTATCGGGTTGTGTTTGAACAAGTGCGGCCTTTTGATTCCATTTCCCAGCGAAGCGAATTTTTTTCAGTGGCAAAAACAAAAGTGTGTTTTTTACATTTGTAAAAAATACAACAGCGATTCATGTGATGTGACAAATGATTCATATATAAAATAGCACAAACGCATAAACAAACTAAGCATAAGATCATAAAAATGATTGATCAGTCCTGAAGGGATTAAAACAGATAAACAAATAATGAAGCGCCCAAATCGAGCATAATTTCGACGATTAAAAATCTTTTTAAAAGTCAGTAAATGATGTTTCTTAACTCAACAGCGAAAAAATAGTAATATAGAACAAGAAAATATATTATTCAAAGCTTGCTCTAGCCAACTGATGCATCAGGCTTTTTGCATGCAAATCCGAGTTTCATTTTTGCAATAAGTAAAAATCCATCCTCAATTAAAACTCTTGCATATTAAATGTAAATATGCGACGACGGACATTTTTCAAGCCATCCAAACCGTGATGTGCAAAGGATTTACATGAAGTTCCATTAATATATTTACATGAATTTGATTTTTCGGCTGGTAAATAAATTCCAATGGTTACTGGAAAGCTATTGAAATTTTATATTATTTGTTGTGTTGACGCTCATATTTTGCTGACAGATCTGAGCTCAATTTTGTCTTTAATGGAAAAATAATGATAATGTTTCAATGTACTCAACCAAAAAAGTGGTATATTTAAAGAGGCTTAAAAAAATTCACTGTGGCTCACATTTGAAAAGGAAACCTATATGGGATTTACATTTGTTTAAATTTGCACCCGGAATCGCTAAACTGTTTTCTGACTCAAATGGCTAAAGAATCTCAGACCCAAATTGCCATAAGATATTCGCAAATAGAGCTGTGGGTCTGAAGAAACAATGAGTGATAGAGCAAACTCTGCTCTATCCAGTGGCGTAACGCACATGACTCAATATAACAGGGGTTTTGAGCAATAAATTTTCAAACTTCTGTCGACACAAACAGACCCATCCAGCCCAAACCGCAGACAATTGCCATAAAAATTCCAAAAAAAACAAAAATGTTAGAAGAACTAAAAAAAATCAGTCAGGAAAGTGTTAGAATAAGACTATAATCAAAATGCTTTTAATATTATCAATATAAGTTCAGCCATATTTATTATGGACCACAGTGTACCACAAAGCCATATTGCTTATGCAGCATAATTTGCTGTTTATCGCGAGAGCAATCTTTTTAGTCAGTGGTCGTCAAATCGCTGCTGATTCAGAGTCGTTTTCGTGTTCGGAAATCTACTTTTGTACTGTGTTGTTCTTTATCATTTACCAATATACTTTTATTCATACATTAAGAGTATGTCCACTTTATTTCACCAACAGAAAGTTTCGAAATGTTGTTTGTTTCGAAATGTTCAAGAAAATTTTATCATTTTTATTAAAAGAATTGTTTTTTTGCTTTGCGATGAGTTAGGAAATTGCGGATTTTGTAGGCAACAGTTGAAACAAATTAAACTAAAAGGATCGAATTTTGTCCATTCTCAGGACATTTTCAAATCAAACCGCGTTTTTCAGTATTCGGGCAAATATTGATTTTTTCTTTGAAAACTAATTTCTGCATTTTGAAAAATAACTGAAAAAAGTCTGATTTTATACGCAATTGTTTGAGATTTCTTAACATGCTGTTTTTTAATACCAAGTTCTAAAGCGTTCACAATTCTCATGTTTACAGCACATCTACACAATCCAACAGGATGAACAGGGCGCGGCTACATTAAGCAAGCAACAAGAAGAACTGCACCGGATGAAAACTGGTAAATGTCGAACAGCTAACAATTTAATCTTTTAATATTTCGAACTTTCCTTGTAAGATTCGCAGCAGCCCTCGTTTAGCGATTCACGTTATGTATGAAGCACAATTAAAAGGGCGTCCCATTGGAGCCCCACGGAGCAACCATTGTGTCTGAAAACAACTAACATTGCAATGGGCTTGTAATAATGTCAGAATAACGTGCCATTGACTGCTGCTGATTGTGATGGACGTGGATCTGCAAGCCCAATTGATATATCATTCCTTGCAAGAATCTTAATTGAACAAGAAAGTTACTTCTGATAAAGTTTACCCGAATTTGGTTATTTTCCTTGTTGGCTCCCACTTTAAAATTGTGGTTATTTCTTCATGTAGATGAAAATTTCTGTTTGTTTATCAATTCCTCTGTTGTCTTTGTTAAAAGAAAAGTATTTGTTCCTTAGTCTCGCTGGTTTATGTTAATATTTTCCTCAAGTTTGTCGGTTGTTTTTTTGCATTCAAGAAAACAAAAATGTCATTCACATTGCAATAAATACAAAACTGCAATCCAAGTGCGAACCACACTAGGAAAGTCGGCCGAGTTCTATGTGCTCCTTCAAAAACCCGCGCAAGCAAAGATTTAAATTTAAATTTTTTTTAGCGAAGAACATCAGGCAAAAGTAGAATTGGTTCTGGATAGATGGACAATCCAAAACGGGGTTTGTTTAAATATTCGGTTAGTTCCATAGCGTTGGATGTTTTAAGCAAACATGCACATAATGATCGAACCTCGGCCTTTAAGTTTCAACAGAATATTTGATTACAAACCTAATTTTAATTACCGAACCTGATATTAGTTAGGAAACTACAGCAGCATTTATGCTACACAAAATCGGCTTCAAATTAAACGAAATAATTTTTAATTTCTAGTTTATTTAAGCGGCAAATCGCGTGCAACGTAGCTTTTATTATTTTATTATTTATTCATGATTGTTTATGTTACTGCTTCGATAAAAGTTCTGATGATGCAATCAAAATAAACGACATTTTGGAAAAGCAGAAAACATTTGTTATTATTACTATGGAAAAGTAGGTGTACATTAAAATATTAACTAAATAATTAATTAACTAACTTTAGGTACATGTAATAAATAATTTTAGTCTCAAAAAAAGCACAGCCGATATTTTTAGTATTCTGGCCTTAAAGCTAAGAGTGTTTTCTTGGAACCCATCTCCCATCTCCGGATGGAAACTTTGAAGGAGGTTTTAACTTCGGTTTTAACGAGGGAAGTTAGTAAACCTGATCATTTTTGCTCGCGTTAAAAGCGAGTTTCTTTGAAAAATTGTGTAATTTCTGAACATTTCGGAAAATATATTTAGCTCTTTGGTCAGCATGTTTAATTTGATCTTATCTTCTCTTTATTTTATTCAGTTTCTTTTATTGCGGATTATGTCAAAAAAAATTGGTAAAGTTCCGTTGCCTGATCGAAAATAAAGTTGGAGAAAACTGAAGACAAATTAATAATCCATCCCACCGTATTCGTGTCCGAAACCGATTAAATAATATTTTATGCATTGCATGTAACAATATATACCATAACAAATGCGATAGAGGTATATCAGACACATAAATTATGCAAAAATCAAGCGGCGTTAAATCAGGCAACTAAAGACTTCTGCGTGTTTACTGGGTGTTTATCGACGTGAAAATAGTTCTGGGGGCATTTCAACTACCATTCAAGAATGGCTGATAATTAACTATCCGGGGAAAATCGACAGAAATACTGGTGGTAGTTTAGTGAGAGCAATTTGCGAACAAATTGTGTGAATATCAGAAGTTCAGTATTAAATATCAGCCGACGTCTAGGGGAAATTCAAACGAAATTGTCAAATACTCCCAGTGAATTCAAAACAAATTAAAGTCAAACAGAAGAGAGCGTCTTATCAACGTATCTCCGTCTCCAAACTGCAAGGAATTCTGTCTCATAAGCGTCGCATTCCCTTCGTAAAAGACATGCTTTGTGCAGCGCACGAAAATTATATTCGAATTTCCCAGCGTCAGAGAAAACCAATTTTTCCCAAGTCAAAAGGATTATTTGCGGCAATTTGTACTTAATGAAGTGGCCAATAATGTCCCGGTGATTTAGCAAAGCTCCTTTAAAACCGAAACCCGACTGAAGGCCCCAAAAAGTGCAATTTGTTTGGCGGAAAGGGTTGCGAAAACAGTGCCAGAGTGGCAAAAAAGCAGCTCCAAGGGCCCTCGTTCTCTGTTTTCCTTAGTAGAGGACCCCCGATTCAGATTTCATATGCTTTTAGGCTTTGTGTGACGAAGATCTAATGAGGCTCCGCCGGTCGGTCTTTATGCTTTAATATATTTACTCTAACTGGGATTTTCTTAAAGGCAAGATGCCTGAATAATATCAGGCTGCTTTATGTCGGTTAATATATGGAAACCTTCATGAAATAAACCACCTGAAAATGGGAAAGATAAATAAGCAACGGGGGCTAATAGAGCTAATGAATAACAACTTTATTCGTGCATCTACCTGATTTTGTGCCTAAGCATTTTTGCAATTCAGGCTTTAATCTGAGTGAATTTACATTGGAAACTGACTTGATATCACACCAAAAAAGTTGATCTCACCTGCAAATGCTCAAACGTGTTTAGTTTTCCCCCGGTTGTGGCATAAAAGTGCCACTTTCAGAATAAATAATTCTGATGGCTCTGCTCTATACAGATTATTTTCATTGGAAAATAGATTTAAGTGTCGAAATTTAAGTATCTATCGTTAGTTCTACGCTTTTTCAATTCACCATATTTTTTCTGGAACGAAATTGGAAATAATTTTTTCAAGTCAAGTTCCACCAGGGTGAACTGAGTAGCTTGATGACTATTCTGCCGGTGCTAAGCCCGGATAAAAGAGGAAGGTTCCAGGGTCTGGCTAGCACCCTACCCAGGGTAAAAGAAACCACAAGCTCACAGAAACCAATACTTGCCTCGGAATAGGACTGATCTAACCACGACGACCCACCCGAGAAAACGGACAACGAATTGGAGAAAGAAGGATCTGCTGCGTGTTGCTACCTGGAATGTGAGATCATACAATAACAAAGACCAAGAAATCTAATAACTTTAATGCAGAAAATTATATATCAACACAAAATCCCAGACGAGTGGCGAACCAGCACTATTGTGCTACTGTTCAAAAAAGAGGACGAGAGAATACCATCAAATTATAGAGGAATAAACCTTTTAAGCAGTGCTCTAATACTAACAACTAAAGTAATTACGAACAAAATCAACAATCTTAGATCGTTGGCGGACGAACAACAGGGATTCAGATCGGGAAGATCCTTCACAGACGCCATGTTCGTATTAAAACAAATAGTCGAGAAGTCGATTGAATACGACAAGCCAGCGTTTATATGTTTTGTTGATCTAACTAGAGCATTTCACAGTGTCCAGCTGAAAAACGTCCTAAATTTCCTTTACAACAAGCAAATCCCACACAATCTCATTAAAACCATAGAGAACACATATACAAATAATAAAATACGAGCACAAATAGAAGAAGACCTCACAGAACCAATACCAGCGGGTAGCAGTATTCGTCAGGGAGACTCCCTGAATCCGACCCTTTTCAATTTAATAATGGAAGAAATTGTTCGAAGTGTTCGATGGCTGAAGGAATACAAAATGGGGGTTGCAGAAATCAAAATATTGTGTTATGCTGACGATGTCGCTCTCACTGCAGAAAGTGAAGATGACCTACAAAGGTTATTACACCTATTCAACCTGACAGCCAAGTCTCTAAATATGAAAATATCAACGACCAAAACAAAATGCTTACAAACATCAAAAACCGCTCTAAGATGCAAACTGGAACTTGACGGTAAAGTAATCGAGCAAAAAATGAAATTTAACTACCTTGGCGTGCAACTGTCCGGCTTTGGGGATGTTGAGGCAGAGGTGAGAGATTAAGCAACAAAAGCAATTAAAATAGCTGGCTATCTGAATGCCATATGGTGTAATAAGAATATGGGAACGGACACTAAATCGAGGATCTACAAAACCGTCGTGAGGCCGGTGACATATACGACATATACCGCAGAAACCAGGCCAGAAACAGCGAAAACCAAAAGACTCCTAGAGACAGCTGAGATGAAAATATTCCGTAGAATTACCGGAACGAAACTGCTGTATAGGGAGATTATCGAGGATATCAGAACAGCCTGTAATGTCAATAACATCAATGAATGGGTAGCAAACAGGAAGAAGGAATGGAATGAGCACATAAGCAGGATGGACCACCGCAGACTTGTGAGAATCGCTCGCGACAAGTCCCCATTGGGACGAAGATACGTTGGGCGCCCCAGGAAACGACGGAGCGACAGCCTCACGCAAGTGAACGATAATTGAACGGGCGATTCGCCTAAAATTAAGAATGAAGAAGAAGAAGTTCAGGAGTCTGTCTCACGAAGAAAAACACAGTTGCATGAGAGAACGATCAAATGCTTAGTGGCTTTGCTAACTTTTCAACATTTATTTCGCTAATTTTACAGATGAATTGAAGTTTTCTTGGCCACGCACTTTTTTATTTGATTTTCTTGCGAATTTCATTAATAACACGATACTTTATTTTTTGGTTAGCCAAAAATCGAGTCGTTGAGGCTTTCAGAAGCGAACTGATTGAGGCTCAGAATCATCACATACTTGAATGGCAGGCAGGTCTTGAAGTCCAATTGGAAATTTGTCGATTTCTCCATAATAAATTCACTTTTCAGATTAGTTGGTGTTTGCTTTAACTTCTTGTTAATCAATATTGATGGTATCGCTCGTCTGGCTCTGGCTGCTTTAGCTAAGCAAATGAGACTTAAAAAATACGTTTTTGCACAACAAAGAACTGATTGTTGTCTAAAGTTGCTTTCAACCAAACTGTTTAATTAACTTTACATCCATTCTATTTATCAGGCTGGAAGAGTGACATTTCGTAATAACAAATTTAGATCGTTTTTCACAGTTAACTAAAATAAACCATTGAAATTTTGGATTAATTGAAAGTTGACAAACATAAATATTTGTCGTTTTGTTCAACTTATAATTTTAGGTCAAGAAAGAGATTTTTCTCCTTATAAACAACAAACTTTTGGACTTCAAATTAGATGCAGTTGTGTTGAACTGCAGTTGTTGTGTGCAACTTAAGTAAATTTTACTCCCTGGAGCTGCCTGTATTTCTATTGAAGAGTTTCTAAAAAAAATATTAGCAGTTTCGATTCGGACTTGATTCAGAGTTAAAGTAAACTTTTTGGCTTATTGGACAATTGCATCTTGTGCGGATGACTCGACTTGTTGCACGACTTGACACGACATTAAAGTTGTTCTCAAGGATAAAATTAACAGGAAACTAATGAAAAGAAACATTACTCCAATGTCTGGATTAGTGAAAAAACGATTTTCCATTGTCTCAAATCTTTCTAACAACGCCGCAGGATTTGCGCAATTTTCAACAAATGCTCCCCAAGTGAACAATGCGAAAACAGTCTAGCAATAGAAACGGATTGCATTATCTCCTATTACAAAGCGGCAATCTTTTTTCTGCGCTTGACATGTGTCAATGACTGATGGTCATTGTTCGTCTAGACTCGCTAACTTTCCTATCTCCTTTTTCCGAGATTAGAGCAACTAATTAGGAGAGAGGAAAGCTCGTAAGTACATCGACAACGTCCAGATTAAAACTTTGTCGAAAATTGGACGTCGACATCGGTTCAAAAGAAGACTTTCTCTGGACCCTGTAAAGCTCTTTTAAGTTTTAAAAGCTTCCTCTTTGAGGAATGGGGTTATTTTGCGGAAATGGCCAGGAAAAGTTGGCTAGTTTGAAATTCACTCATTTGCACACGAGAAAGACAGCAAAAGCTAAAAATAAAAAGAACAGAATAGAATCAATTTTGACTAACACTCTACGGGTTTAATCAAGCGACTGAGCAACAGCTATGGAGGACACCGTTTCAGAGAATGGATCATTTGTGAAACTTTCCAGCTAGACTCCTTTAAAATGCTTGGACAAAAGCTTCCAGGAAGGCCATAATC